GGACACTTGATACGCCTATGAGGTCTAGACTTCAAGCCCCCGGCCAGGCAAGTGGCGCAGTCGCGCCGCCACGGAACGTGATCATCTAGAAGATGGCGACGGAAGGACTCATCAACTCCTGCTGCCTTTTGCAGCCGCTCAACTCCCCCACGTTCGTGGAACTGCAAGCTGCAAGTTAACATGCTACACAGCGCAGCGATAACAAGTTCCGCCGAAGAGCCCCGATTATTCAACAATGGCCCATGCTCTATCACCTCAGTGGACGACGAACCCTGCTTTACGACATCCGGAGCCGCAGCATTTGATGCGACCGCCCCATGTAACACAGATTCAGTAATCCAGGTGTGTGGAACGATGGCGGTGTGTTTCTGGAAACTCTGCCAAGTCGGCAACTCAGAAAAGGTATTGTGATGATGCGAGACGCCAGGCTCAGCAACGAGAATGAATGGCTCACTTACAGCATGCCTTTTAGCAATCAGCCAGACAAGCAGCATGCGCATCAAAACCTGTTCACGACAGGCATCTGTATGCTCCAATTCTCCCCAAACACCCAGAATTTTACCGCGAACTGCCAGTCCAATCAAATATCCCCACACCTCCTTATCAAGGATCGATCGCTGTGCATCCAGCTGTAGCACGGCAAACCCGTGATCCTGAATGACAGACTGGCACTGCTTGGATACACCCTTTGATCCAAACTGCACATACAGACCAGAAGCCTGCTGATGCGACCTACGGTGTCTACGATTCCACGGCAACTCATTTGCGTTCCAGGTCACGTCAGACAAGGAAGACAAGGTTTTATGCGAAGCTTCTGAAAACAAGCGCTGGATGCACAAGTACATCAAAGGACCATGATTGGGATGATCCGGCTCCAAATTATCCAACGCCTTCCACATCACCTCAATTGGCCAAGACACAGTGGCGTGTCCAATCCTGGCCACGCGAGCCCTTTTCCGTGCTGCTTCAAGGTTATGGGCCTCGATATCACCAATAAGGTTACGGGCAAGTTTAGGAGCAATTTCCGGGCACCCGTTGATCATTTGTGCACGGATAACGCCACGAGTGGGATGTCGTAAGATGCACGAAGATTCAGCCCACTCAAGCCGACAGCCTATTTCCACGAGACGACCCAAGCTGACAATGCTTTCAATGGGCTGCAGCGTGAGAAGGGTGCCGCCCGGATTAATGTAGAAGGTGGCAGTCCCAATAGCCAACGCGATTTGTTTTTGCGGCAAACCTTCGATTTCATGTGGGGCGGCTGAACGTAAACATGCCGATGCGCCGCTGTCGAGCAGCGCAAGACTTGTCTCCCCCGAATATCCATCACACGGTGGACTCGCAGCTACACACACCTGCCCCTCAGGCTCAAACAGGCGCTTAAGTTTGATGGACCTAAGAAGATCAGTTGCTTCCTTAACCAGATCAGAAGTATCAACCGGAGTGGAGGAAGCTAAAGCTTCTGTCGACGCAGCGGCATTTGTCGCCACAGAATCATCCTGAACTTCAGCCTTTCGCGTCTTACCCCCTTTATCTCCACCTTTCTCCCCCGGGCCCTTAGCCTTACCCTCACCTTTGGCACTCGACTTGGGAGCGGCTTTCGGTCGAGCCGCGGAGCTCGGAGAGGATGGCCCCTTTGGGTACGGGCAGTCCGGTCTAACATGATCATCAGCACTACAGTTGTAACACATGCGCTTGTCACCAAACACCTCCTCCGAATGTGCAAATTGGCATTCCGCTCCATACTTGCATCCACCCGGCTTGCCCCAGTGTTTACACGGCGTTGTGGGTTTGGATGGCTGGGTTTTGGATTTTGCATTCTTACCACCACCTTTACCACCCTTATCACCCTTATCACTGCCTTTATCACCAAGTTCACCTTCGGCCCTTGCTAGCCTCGCCCGTTTAGGAGAGGTCGATGCACTATTGCCTTGACCTTCCTGTTGCGTTCCCCCTAGCTCCACCGCAAGATTGGAGTACGCATGCTCAAGCTCCGCCAAAATCAGATTAGCCAGATCAAACACCGACTCATGGGTTGGATGATAATCCAGCTTGCGACTCTCACGATACATCCCAAGCCTAAACTGCATCTGGGGCAAACTATTCACCAGCCGTTTAATCAAGATGTCCAAACCAGCCAACTGTAGCGTGCTGTCGGGAAGCTCTGCGGCGAGCTCTTGGATGCGACGCCTATACCTCATCCACTTTTTTATGGCCTGAACGCCATCAGATACAGTGGTCGGTACAGCCGGATTTATCAAGAAGCTAAGCATCGCACTCTTCTCAGCACTAGACCCAGGCTGATACCGCGTCAACAGAAGGAACAGCACTGAAGCTACAGACATATATCGCTGCTGCACTGCATCGTCTTTCATGGCTTCGGGGACTGCCTTCAGGATCATGGTGTAAACGCGCGGCTCAAGAAGACTATACTTCCCTCGGCCATGCGTAACCGCTCCTGGATCCGGGACCATACCGATACGATCAATCGGTGAAGCTCGAAGCCACGCATCATAAGCATCGAACGCTGATTTGCGAACCTCCCCCCACCACACATGAGCAGACATAGACAAGCTACTGATTACCGGTGTTATTATGGCCAGCCAATCACCTATAATGGCCGCAGCTTCACCGGAGGAGCCTGCGGAGAGAGACGGAAGCTCGACTGCATGCTTCTCTAATCGCTCCGGCTCTGCTTCGCTGCTCGGGAATGGCAAAGGTGGTATCGGGGTTCCTCCAGGCGTACAGTTATGCCTAGCAGCATCTGTTGGGGCGCGAGGGGTTACTGGTGCAACATGCGAGTCAGGCCTAGACGGTGGTGGTGGTGGAGGCCTAAATGGAGATACAGCTCGGGCACCGAAAGGATTGGTCGCATCATGTACTGCAGTCTCGAGTGCCGTCCCCAGCGCTGGCACCGTAGGCGGCGGTGCTGGTGCTGCTATTCCCCCTGGCTCTCCTATACGCGGTCTATCACCTATGAAGAATGTAGGAACACCTTGATCTACGACTTCTATTCCACCACTCTCATTAACCCGTGCCTTACGCATCACACCATCCACCTTGACCCACACTACACGGTCTGCATTCGGGCTTATCTGAACTGCGACGGTATATGTCCCGACCCATACGGCAACCCAGGTGTACTGACCTGCAGTGCAGGAGGGCTCATGCTGGCATTCGCTCCCCGCCAGCTTTGCACAGGATCAACCGCTTCACTCGGAAAAGCGGGTGCAGAAGGAAAGGATGGGATTACAGGATGGGGCTGACTTGGATTATCCACCACTCCAGTGCTCAGCCTACTCGGAAATCCGAAACCCGCACTAAAGTCAACGGGGACTCCACCTGCCGCAATCGCTGCTCGGCTTTCTGGGCCACTTATCTCGGGATGAAAGGGGCCAGGCACCATCGACTTGCTATGGAAAGATATCAATGGCGGCTGATTCGCATCAGGACGATTGGGTACAGACGAACCTACTCCTACACTGGTATACCCTATCGAACCATAACCCCTATCGAAACCCAATGGCCCCAAGCCAGCTGGATCTATGGCCGTTCTCATTGACTCGGACGACTGCGAGCGTGATTCCATGCGATCCATCCTCTTCATAAGAACACTAAGCATTTCAACTATTTGATTCTGGGTTGCGTTATCGTTCAGCCTACCACTCGGAGCTGCATCAGACCCTGGAGTAGCATTATGTCCGGCTGCTGGCACACTCGGAACACCTGAATCTTCCGACTGCTGCACACACTCCTCACCTAAAGAAGCCTCTGCCAACCCAGCTCTGACCAATCCACGGATCGACGGCATACCAGCTGCATCACGCGACAACTGGCTGGCTGCATCATCCAGGAAATCTGGCCTCATCTGCTGTAAGTGAAATTCTGTCTGAGCTCTCTCACTCCAGAAAGGATTGCTTTGTACCACTTGCTTCGATCTATCAATATCTCCCTCAGACGGACCAGGCGATTCGTGAAGACGAAGACTTCCACCCGCTTCAATATCACGCGTCGCGCCCAGTCCGGTAACTTGTGTCTCGTGATGTCCAGATTGCGTCGCGCCGAATCCGGTGTTATGCGTCTCATGTTGTCCAGATCGTGTCAAAGCCATAGCCTCATCATTTCCAGCTGTCCGGTCATGAGGTTGATCTTGTAGCGCAGGTGCTGTCCTTGGGCTCATAACCCGTGGATCAGCTGATGGGTTGGCCATGGCTGGAGATCAGAACGACGCACTCCTTTTGAACGATCGCAAAGAAATGACAGGTAAGTCTGAGGAATTTCGGTCTTATGGGTTCTGTTGTTGATAGGCCAGATGCTCCATGATAGTATGCCATGCTCACGATGTGGTCGAAGCTCCCCTCTCTAGTGTATGGCTATAATTAGTTTTGCGAACATGCTCTCTTACGGAGGGCGCGAGCACACCATTTTAGGAACTGCGCATGCACATGTTTGATGAGTGCAATGCAGGATAGAGTCGGTGCAGTTCGCAGTGCACGATTCAAGAAGTCATATGCTTGTCTCTGACTTGCAAGCATGACTCAGTTCGCTTTTACACGGCGAGACTTCGTATGGTATTTGGCTCAAGAACGCGAAAAGGATCCGAGAGCTGTTTGACAACTTTGGTTTCTTGCGACTGGGAGTGTTTGGGGTTGTGACGACGACACAGAGGCCAACGGCCTCTCCGTGCAGAACATAACATCCCCAAACCCTTAACAGCGAATACCTTGAAAGCTTGTGTTGCCTTGACTCTTTCGAGTCGTGCCAGACTGCTGGGGCCTTCTGGTTTAATCTCGGGTTCGTAGTCTTGAGGATTTGCGGGTAGGAAGGTCAACACGTGTTGCCCGGGCCGGTACTTTCACTTCCGTGATCCTTTGAGCGCCGTGAGTGTGATAATGCAGAGCGATGTGGATGAAGATGCCACTAACCCGTATCATACGCCTCGGAGGGGACAGCGTGCCCTAACGAATATGCCTGATCATTATAGTCCTGTGACAGACACCATGAGTCCAGATCAGAATGCAAGGGCATTGACATCAATAGCCGGTGCTCATAACCAACAGGTTATGAGCCCAAGCGGCTCCGCACAACCAAGCGTGCCTCCGTTCCCCACGGCAGCAGGGCCGTCAGCACAGTTCGGAGGCATTCAGTTCATGCAAGCAACCCGGCTGGAGATCCCGACGTCAATCCTTCAGCAGTTTGCACAGGCAGCTTCGCTGGATGCTTCTATGCTCCATGACCTGAGAGCAGCTGTCATTGAACTGAATGATCGTATGCAGTATAGATCCAACGTTTTGGGAGATGCATGCGTAACGCTCCACTCTGGATACAATGCCATAGTGGATAACCTGGACAGGCTCCAACAAGGAATGGAGGCCCATAGTCGTACTTTGGCCTTTCTCATGAATGAAAACCTGTCTTTAAAGCAAGAGATAGAATCCACCGGTGAGCAGCTCAGCACGGACATGCGACAACAGTTTGCAATCGTTCGCGAGCAGTTGAGTGCGGTCCAGATGAAGGCGGAAACGGCCATGATGGGCCCGCAACAATGGCAAGCCCAGGTTGAGGCACACATTGTAACAATTCAAAACAACCTTGAGGCTGGACTCCGGAAGGCCAGTTCTGAGAATGAGACCCTGCGATCTCGTGTTGGTGTGCTTGAACAGGCAAATCAAGAGCGGGAGCGGGAGTGGCAAACTTTTCGGCAGGAGCATCGCGCTTCAGCTGATCAGAAGGGCTGCGACTCAACTGAGGTCCGCACTCAGGTCGATGAACTGTGTGCTACTATGACAGATCATGGGCAGCGCCTCGATGTGATTTCCCGGGATGTTGCAGATCTGCATGCTTCAGTGGCAGAAGTAGAATCATCAGTGTCTCATTTGGAGGGTCACAGCGCGACCATCCGAGAGGAGATCAGGGGTTTACATCAGATTTGCGAGCATTTTGCCGTCTACACAGATGAGGAACCTGTTGTTGGTGATCCGGGGATGGAAGATTATGAAGCAGGGTGGTGGGGTCAGCATAATGATGTAGATGCGATGCCACAGGGTCCGCCGCCTGGCTTCGGGGATCAGCCGCTGCACCCACCGGGGACCACACAGATCCCGCGCAGAATGTGCCACAGGCGGCGCAAACTGCGTTCATGCCAGAATTCAGACCTTCAGGACCAAGTGATCACGGAGGTAACACGAGCATCCATCACGGTCGGTGGAAGCTACTTCAGGATGTGCCTGCGTTGAGGTTAGGAGCTGGAGAGCCTTGGGAACAAGGTATGAAGCTTCGGACCTGGTTCAAGCAGGTTGAGACTATTGCGGGAACAATTGCCGAATCATTCGGGGTTTATGTGAAGCAGCAGTTTAGGCTAGCAGATGATCGGCACAAGCAAAGGTTGGCAGGTTTGCACCAGTTGGATCCACCACCAAGGGTCCCACAGGAGGACTCGGAGAGTGAAAACCGGCTCGTGCTACTGCTGATCCGTTGTGTGCCCGCTGAGTTGAAGCAGAATGTCCTTGAAAAGGGAGATGAATCAGAACCGATGCGTGCAATTGCACTCCTTGAAGGGGTATTAGAAACATTGCAACCAGGTGGCGCTGCAGAAATGCAGTCGTTACAAGCTTTCGTTCGGAATCTGAGACCTGTTGGCACTGCAAAGGAGGGTCTGAGTGTGCTCCGACGGTGGCGGCTAGCAAGATCTAGGGCCATAGCATTGGCGCTCCCCCAGGTTGCCCCATTTGAGGAGCTTGGAGCGTTGGGAACACTTGCCCAGACTCTGGAGAAGCGTCATGACCGATTGCGTACCATGCTTAGTCTGCTGCGAACTAGGCCGGAAATCATCCGGCCAACCCCCGAGGGAGTAGACATGATGATCAGCCTTTTGGACCAGCAGTTTCAGCTACTCCATGCCGATGAGCAGGTAAAAACGAGTCGCGGTCGCGGCCAGGAGGATGATCTCGATCCAACGGCAAAGAAGGGCAAAGGCAAGGACGGAAAAGGCAAAGGCAAGGGTAGCAAGGGTACGGGTAAGGATTCAGGTTCAAAAGATGTGAAGCAGGAGTGCATAGCGTGGAAAACTACGGGAAAGTGTAGATTTGGCGACAGATGCCGATTCACGCATGGTAATCCACCAGCCCCTGGGGGCGCTCCACCACCCAAAGCAAGCCCAACTCCTAAACCCAAGGCTGCCCCAGCTGTAGCTCCGTCGCAACAACCTTGTCTTGCTTGGAAAAAGAATGGGAAGTGTAGGTTCGGGGACAAGTGCAAATATTCGCATGATGGAGAGGCTAAGCAAGCCACGGCAAAACCACAGGGAGCAACCACCACTACCGCGAGTCCATCAGAACCCTTAGTAGGAGCCGTAGCAAAGGCCTCAGCATGCATCACCCGATCTAGGGCTATGAAGGTTATTAGTGGTCTTGAGGAACCGGGTCCAGTAGATCTGTCAAGTGAGGGTGAAGAGTCGCCCGAGCCGTCCGAGCCAGCACCGAGTGAGGAGGAGTCTGAAGGTGTAGAATCAATTCCGGAGGCCGGTGGCCCGCTCTGGGTTCTTGACTTGTCCCTACGGGATTACATCCATTGGACGCGCCCATCGCAGACTCAGGTGTGTGCAGACCGAGATTTTCGTGAGGAGGAGAATCCTAACTCCATTGTGTGGGCAGTCTGGGATACGATCATTCATGATGAGCTAGATGTAGATGAAACGGGCACCATACCCATCGCGGAGGGAGTGTGCATGATCAAGTGTGATACCACAGTTGTCCTTTGCGAAGATGGGGTTGGAAGGCCCTGCTTTGTGGTTTGGATTCAGGAGGAGAGTTCAGGTCGGGAAAGGCAGCTTGCTTTGGCCCAGATACAGCACCGACCAAGGGTGCGACGCTGGCCCGAGATCCCCGATCCCCATGTACCTGAACTTGCGTATCGTAGGCCCCCGGAACCCAGCAAGGCGGCTCCAGCAAGAGCTCCCGATGCCGCGTCCGCTTACGTGAGGGGCGCTCCACCGGCAAAGGCGCCTACTGTGGTCCTGCCACCAGCACTCCGAACATCATCATCATCGTCCTCTTCACACGACCATTCCAACCAGAATCCTCATGCAGCCCAGGCAAGCAGCACTGGTAGGTGTGAGGAGGAGCGATGTGTTCTTGCGGACACCGGTGCAAATGAGCTTATCAGGCCCGTCGGTCCCCAACCACCCGCAAGGTCTAGTCAGGTTCGCCTCACGCTAGCCGATGGCAACACTACATGTGCATGGCGTACGAGGGACGGTGAGCTTGCAATGCCTGGTGATGAGACCTCCTGGATTGTCCCTGTAGGTAGGCTGGTGCAGCTAGGCTATAGGTTTGTCTGGGATCTGGATTTGGGTGCTAGGTTAGTGCGGGAGACTGAAGCTGGATGTGAAACCATCCACATGTTCGTCGACAATGGCTTGCCTTACCTTTACTGGTCGGATTTTGCCCACCTTCGCAAACAGCTGTCAGCCGCTTTCCGAAACCAGAAGAGGAGCTGCTGTGCCGTCGCGAGTAACGAGAGCGAGCTTATGAACATGTTTGTAACACCGGATGATTTGCATGAGTGTGAGGCTGAGGCTAAGGAGTGTGTGTCCCCAGATTCCAAGGCATGCATTGGAGAGCAAGTCGCAGCAGCCTTCTTGAAGCTTGAGAGCATCACATATGACCATGTTTTGGAGGCTGTCATGAAGGCGGGTTTGAAACCTCAGAGCAAGTCGAGATCCTGTGCTGTAGGTCTTGAGGGTTCAGAGGGCATAAAGTCATGGGTGTTTGGTGCTTACGGTCATGGCCCGCACTGCGGCGTGACAACGCGAACCAATCAATTCCCGAACCTTGTTGCCTTGATCAATCGCTTCATGCAGCAAGAGATGCCCACTGCATCCTGGTCGTCTTTTACCATATCCCAAGACGTTACCTTTACCCCGCATAAGGACACCCATAATGAACCTGATTCCCTAAACGTGCTTGTCGTGCTAAACCACAAGGGCCAGTGCAAGGGCGGCAGTTTGTGGATTGAGCAGGAGGATGGCGATCAAATGCGCCAGATCAAGCCGGATCTGAATCTTCGGGGTGTTGTCATGCCGGTGCTAAGGCGTCCAGTGCAGTTCAGTCCAACAAAGTGGCATGGAACCACGCCTTGGAAGGGCACACGCGTAGCATTGTCATTTTTTACGACTAGGAACGTGCTTACCTTGCCGGCAGATGAACAGAGGCGATTGAAGGAGTTGCACTTTCCAACCTGCGAGGCAGTTGCTGCTGCGGCCGAACACATCGCATTCCCCCTAAGCCTGAACCCCGCCGATGACCAGTTTCCTGAGGACCTTGAAGCCAAGACGACGGACGCGACGGTAGGCGAGGGTCAGTTCAGGGAGAATGTGTCGGATGAATTCCAGGATGGCGGGTTGTTTGGAGATGTGTTTCAGGGTCTAGCTGATCCCGATGGTCCGCCCGCGAGCTCCGACATGTGGCCTTTGGATGACGATCTAGCGGAGTATGAGCCTTCGCTTGCAGATCCTGAGGACATTTTCCATGCGAGTCAATTCGATGATCAACCTGGTGAGGCAAGTTCCCGGGAGTTTGCGTTGCCTGCGGCTGCGCCGGAAGCTCCGAAAGAACCTGTCAAGGCGAAACCGGGTCACACACTTGACGATTACCGTGCTAGAGGAACCAAGAAGCCGCACCGCAAAGTGCAGCCGTCCGATGTTGCAAAGGGGGTCCTCTCTCTGGATATTGCAGGACCATACAAAGGTGCACATGATCATTCCAAGTACATCCTTGCAGGTGTGTTCAGACTTGAAGATGGTGCCACTCTCCAATTTGTCCAGCCACTGCAACGCAGATTCTGGTCAGATGTTCTCAGTGGAGTACGTGGTATCTTGAATGAGCTTTCGGCGATTGCTGGTGGGAAAGCGCCTGTTCGGATCCATTCAGACCGTGCCAAGGAATTCCTGGCTCGACGTGTGGTTGAGGAAATCAAAAAGGCGGGAATCCATCAGACGAGCACCGTTGGACACGATCCAGCTGCTAATGGTGTTGCGGAGAGAAACATTGGATTGCTCAAGCAGCGAGTTCGTGAGTTCATCATCAAGGGCGAAGCGCCTTCAAAATACTGGCCAATTTTGTTTCAGGAAGCAGCGAGGCAACAACGTGACTTGACATTGGGAAAATCGTGGCAAGGGCAGGTACCATATCCAGGTGACCACGTGGCTGTCAAGATCAACGATCCGGGCCCGCTTGACGTTCGTTCTGAAGCAGGTATTTTCTTGGGTCGGGCTGACCGGTTTACCAATGGTGCTTATGTCGAAGTCAGAAGGAACGGCAAGAGCCTTGTCGTGATTACTCGACTCCCTGCTATCACCAAGGAGCCAGAACGACGATGGAGAACATATGAGTCTCTGTCAGGTGATCTCCTCTGGATCTCAAGCGACGGCCAAGTGCGAGATGCGGATACTATCAGGGATCTGGGCATTGACCTGGGCATCTTGACGGTTGAGGAGGTCCAGAGCGGTCAGAGTCCCTTAGACGGGTATCCACTGGCAGCAGTTGCTACGTCATCATCCCAAATGAAACAACCTGCCCCTGAACATGGCGATAAGGCTGTGAACTGGCAGAAGTATCATCTGCTTTCCTATGAGGAGGAGCAGTTGGCGAATCAAGTCGAGGAGAAGCTACTGGAAGCGAGCACAGCGCCGGCTCAAGCGGAGACGGTGGACTTGAAGGGTTTCTATAAGGGTGACAGACAGCAGCAGTGGAAAGCCTCACTTGTGAAGGAGTATGGGAAGATGAAAGATGTCCTTGAGGAAGCGACCCGGGATCAACTACATGGCAGATTGGGCCTGCCTGCGGGGACCCGCTTACCTCGTGAAATCCCTTCTAAGGTTGTGGCAACACTCAAACCGAGCGAGGACCCGACGTTGGCCAACGAGGATGGGTTTGCCGAGAAAAGCCGAATATGCGCTTGTGGCAACTTTGAATCAGGAGCTGACAACAATGGTGAACCTTGGACGTCTTCAAACATCCCACCTGAGATTGTGCGGACTTTCGTGTCATTGGCTGCATCAACGGAGAATTGGACTTTGGGGGGCTTGGATGTCGAGGCCGCCTTTCTGAACGCCGACATTTCCTCCGGAGATCCTGTGATTATTACTCCACCCAAAGTTATGCGAGACCTAGGGCTCGTTGGTGCAGAAACGGTGTGGATAGCGCGAAAGAACATCTACGGGCTCCGTCGGGGCCCGACCGAATGGGAGAAAGAGCGCGACACGAAGATCAATCATGCAACCATCCAGGGCTCCAAGGGCGACAATCATTCAGCACTGACTTTCATTCCGATCAACCTTGCCGCTGGCCTGTGGAAGCTGGTAGATGAGAAGGGTGTGGTCGTTGGAGCGTGCTGTTGCTATGTCGACGATGGTCTGGTCGTGGGCGATGTGGAAGTGATCCGAAGAGTCACTGCTTTCATTCAGAGTTTGTGGTCTATCAAGGGTCAGGGTATTCTTGAGAAACCAGGGGTAGGACTTAGCGGAAACCTCGTTGTGAGTGAAACCTTGACCTTGAAGCTCGTTCGGTGCATGCGATTCCTCGGTGCAGAGATTGCTGTGGCGAGTGATGGATTGCAGATTGGACAGGCAAAGTATGTGGCACAAGAACTTCGGGCTCGAGGGTGGCTCACGCTCAAGGGGTCAGAATCACTACCGGTACCATCGGAGGGCCTTGCGGCGTCTGAGATCCGAGACAATGCGTTCGAAGCTAACATGAAACTGGCCCAAAAGGAAGCTGGAACCTTGATGTGGATTGCACTCCGATCCAGGCCGGACATTGCTGCTTGCTTAGGTGTAGCCAGTACTTTGATCACTTCCAGGCCGTCCGAGAGTCTGCGATTGTGCAAGGGAATCTGGCGTTATCTTCGAAGCACTTGGGACAAAGTGATTCAGTACAATTACGGAGGTCCCAAGGGTCCAGACGACGCGATGAATGATCCATCAGTGTTCCGGATAGTGTCAGATGCCTCTCTCGCTCCAGGGGGAGCTCGTTCGAGGAGCGGCGTGGCTTTATTCCTAGGAAGTCATCTGCTGTACTGGAGGTCTCAAAGACAGGCTTTAGTAGCCTGGTCGGCTACCGAAAGTGAGCTCGAGGCTATGGCTATTGCTTTCCAAGATGGGCTGAAGCTGCACGCAGTCATAGCTGAACTGTCGGGCCGTGCGCCGCGCATTTTGGCGTTCGGTGACAATTCAGGTGCCATCCAGCTGGTGACTAAGGAGCGCTTTCACGAGCAGACAATGAGAACACGGCATTTCGCAATCCGTTGTGCTTACATCCGAGATCTTGTGTGGCTACATGACATTGAGGTTTTGCATCGCGGGACAAATGAGCTTGAGGCCGATGGACTTACCAAAGTCTTGGGCAAGGCGAAACTGGCAGTGGCGCGTGTGCAGCTGCGGATCATGTGATTAATATGATGGGTAGGTCGTGACAATCGTTCTACTCATAATCTTTTCGCGTGAGGGCCACTCTCTGGAGTGGTAAGTGCTTTTGTAACATAGACTCCGAAGGAATAGTCCAGGGTCTGTGATTAGGGTAGGAAGGCGCAGTTGTTCCCACTGGGGATAAGAACAGAGTCAAGGCTCGAAAAAAGAAAGAAAAGAGACCATAGGCTGGTTCACCAAACCCCTACGGGCCAGGGGAGTACGCTGTTGCTTCATCCTCTATGCGCCATTTTAGCTTTCAGTTTGGAGATCTGGCTGAGTCTGAGTCTCAGCACGTGCGGAATCGCACATGCCGAGAAGGAGGAGTGTTGTTGATAGGCCAGATGCTCCATGATAGTATGCCATGCTCACGATGTGGTCGAAGCTCCCATCTCTAGTGTATGGCTATAATTAGTTTTGCGAACATGCTCTCTTACGGAGGGCGCGAGCACACCATTTTAGGAACTGCGCATGCACATGTTTGATGAGTGCAATGCAGGATAGAGTCGGTGCAGTTCGCAGTGCACGATTCAAGAAGTCATATGCTTGTCTCTGACTTGCAAGCATGACTCAGTTCGCTTTTACACGGCGAGACTTCGTATGGTATTTGGCTCAAGAACGCGAAAAGGATCCGAGAGCTGTTTGGCAACTTTGGTTTCTTGCGACTGGGAGTGTTTGGGGTTGTGACGACGACACAGAGGCCAACGGCCTCTCCGTGCAGAACATAACATCCCCAAACCCTTAACAGCGAATACCTTGAAAGCTTGTGTTGCCTTGACTCTTTCGAGTCGTGCCAGACTGCTGGGGCCTTCTGGTTTAATCTCGGGTTCGTAGTCTTGAGGATTTGCGGGTAGGAAGGTCAACACGTGTTGCCCGGGCCGGTACTTTCACTTCCGTGATCCTTTGAGCGCCGTGAGTGTGATAATGCAGAGCGATGTGGATGAAGATGCCACTAACCCGTATCATACGCCTCGGAGGGGACAGCGTGCCCTAACGAATATGCCTGATCATTATAATCCTGTGACAGACACCATGAGTCCAGATCAGAATGCAAGGGCATTGACATCAATAGCCGGTGCTCATAACCAACAGGTTCATACCCTTTCTTGAAAAGACGGTATGCCTTGCCTAATCTTCCTTCAACGTGTAGCTCTATGAGCCACAGTAGCTGCATCAGCAGCAATCTGCACAATCCACAATGCGTGTGGAGAACGGAAACCCAAAGGGGCAGCACGCACCCTCGTTTTCCGTCCAAGCAGAAAGTCCAACGACCGTGACAGGTCGAACGTCCGCCCAGGACGGGCTGCGCGCAATTGCGTCGCGGCAACGAGAAGCTACCAACGACACACTGCCGTGCTCACTTGAGCCAAAAATGTTATGAATACGAATTACAGAAGAGCATGCATAAAAGCATACAGCACAACAGCCAGCCCGCAGACTATGTACAGTTACATTCGCCCCTCAGCCGAGAGCACGATAGAGCCGTAGGATTCCGCGGGCGGCCGGAGGCCGTAAAACTGACCTACAGACCCTGCCCTCCTACAAACCCTTCGCACTCAGCACAAGACCTTCGTTTTTCACGGCCTGTGCTGCACGAGGCTCTGGTTTCCTACTGTACACAGCCTGCGCCGCACTGCGGCCACAGGGCTGGTGAAACGAGCAGCTGAAGCTGCGGCGTTACTCCACGCGCTTCGGGAGCACTACCGTGCCTCCCTAGCCGCTCCCGTCAAAGACCTGTAGAGCGGATACGCCACCCTGTCGTCTCATCGGAAAGCAGCTAGGTGCTGCGACCAAAACTGAAGTTGCCACAGGTGGCTAGAAGGGCGGAGCGCAGTCCGCGACTTCTAGTCCACGGTCACTGCGGCTCCACGTTGGGTTGCGCGGCGGGCTGCTGGACATTTGAGGGTTTTGCCCGCCCGCGGTGGTTCCGCTGAGGTGCTTCGAACTCCTCGAGCTTCAGCGCCTTGGACCACTCGGTGCCAAACGAATCTAGCCACTTTTGGCTAAATTCAGAGGTCAGCACACTGGCGACCGCGATGCCGACCTCCGCGTTGGCCCGTGAACTAGCACTAAAGTTTAGGCTTCCTATCACGGCGCTAACTGTGGAGTCCGGCCTCGTCACGAGCACCGTCTTGGCGTGGTGGATGCCCGCGAGGCCTGCGCCGATGCTCACGTCCGTGCGGTTCTCGGCGGCGTAAGCCGCCTTGACCGAGGTGCCCTTGCCGACACGGACCTGGACGCCAGCCGCCCCTAGCTCCTTGAGGGACTGCAGCTGGAGCTTGGTCCGGCTCGTCTGCGAGTTGTCGGCAAGCACGTGGGCTCGGGCGCCTCGCTCCAGCGAGGACACGAGGGCTCCAACCAAAGGCTTGCTATCGAAGCTGTAGGCTCGCACGTAAACGTGGTCCCCATGCCCAGCGTCCGATAGCATCGTTTGTACCACAGCGTGATACTCCGGAAGGGTCAGAAACTTGACCCCGGCTCGCTCGAAGCCGTCAGGGATCGGGAAGTCTCTGACACGCCGTGCCTGGCTCGACATGGGAGCTGTCGGAGCCGGAGACGCCGCAGAGGTACCCTGGCGGGAAGCCTCCGCTGCAGGCGTCTTCGGAACAGTCTCTGTCGGAGGCGCCGACACTGTGGCCACCTCGTGGCGGCCTCTGAGCTTGGTAAAGCCGTCAAGGCAACCCTCGGACGGGTTCCCGACATTCCGAGCTCTTTCAGAGAGCGATCTCGCTTTCGACACCATGCCGGCAAGGCACCCCTGTTCCAGGGCCGGCGCGCCGAGGATCGCACGGGCGCGTCTAGTCGCGGCCGGGGCGACGGACAGCGTTGGGGCAGCGCTCGCGCCTGTCATGGCCACGAGTTGCCCCGCAGCTTCAACAGCGCGTTCTATGTGACCACAACGTCCCTCGTTGAGGAATGCCTTGCAGTCGCAGCCTGCGCCGTCCGCGCCCGACCCGACCTTCACAAGAACCCTGTGTGCTCCGGCCTTAGTCTTTGATGCAACCTCAAAGACAGCCTCCCGGCCTTCGAGCGACACCAGAACAGCATTCCCAAAGGGGTTACCGTTCATGGCGTGCATTAGCCGGTTAGTGGCGACACGTCCGGCCCACCACAGCACTACGGCCGCGAACGTCCACAGTAGGACGACGGCCGTCAAGCCAACCACGCGGACACCCCGAACGAGGATACCAGAGGATTCCTCGATGAGGTCCTCCGCCGCAGTGGCAACTGCAGTGAGGCTCACGTGTGCCACCTCTCTGGCACCGCGCTCAACAGTGAAGAGGGTAGGCGCCAGCGCAGCGGCCACCAAACCCGTCTTCCATCCAATGTTGCCCGTTGTGGCGTGGGCTGCGCGATTGCGCGCTCTCCTGGAGAGAGCCCAGCTGGAGACCGCAGCGCCTATCGAGCGCACGGCCCCAAGGAACCCACCACGGTTCGAGGGCCCGGAAGAGACAGCGGGGCGAGAAGAAACGGCAGGGGCCTCGGGCGCCACTCTGTGGCCACCCGGGCCACGCAGTGGGAGCGTGAGGGCGGGCTGCCCAGCACGCTCGCCGAGTCGGGAGGAGTATGCCAGTCCGGCAGCACCTCCGGCCCACCATCCTCGGTTGCCGTAGCGGTTCGAGCTTCCCCTTCCACCACCTTTGCCACCACCCTTGCTGCCAGAGCTGCGGCCCCCACTGGGTGCACCGCGCCCGGAGGAAGGTTGGCTCCACCAGGCTCGGGCAGAGTCTTGAGAGAGCTCTGCCTGCCTGCGCTTTTCAGCGCGGAGCCTCTTCCGTCCGGAGCGGAGGAATTTCCTCGCATGCTCCGCAAGGGGATCGGCGTTGATGGAACGCTCGATCCGTTCCATCTTCGTGCCCTCGCTCTCTTCCGACGAAGAAGCAGCTTCATCGTCGCCTTCCTGGGGCGGCATGCCGTGGGTTATGAACGACGCGCCCGACTTAGGGCCACTGCACTTAAAGCACAGTTTGCGCCATAACATGTTCCTCTCTTGGCATGTGTCCCGCCCACAGGTCCAGTAGGCGTTGGACATTGCGGCGGCGATCGCGTCCGAACGCTTCGCATAAAGGTACTCCTTTATGCGTTCCTTATGTTCATCGAGCCAGACCTCGATGAACCACGCCGGCGCCGTTCGCAGGTCCACCGGCGTGCTCCAGTACAGGCTGTCCTCGAAGATCCCCACACAGGGGGCACCTCCGAGCTCCTCGGAATCATGGTGCCGGCAGGTATTGCGTTCTGGTGGGTTCGCACGCCCACAAGTAAAGCAATCCCACCAGCCCCAAGGCCAGACCTTGCCTGTGAGGAGCGGAACGCGCTCGGGTGTCGGTCCAAGCTCGTTTTCATCGTAATCGGGCCAGATTTCAAACACTGGCCTGTTCGACAAAATCGCAGCCTGGTAGACGAACGCGCGCCTCCGGCGCCGCGCCAACGCGAGGAGCTGCTCGAGCGTATGCTCACCACCGCCTCGGAAGAATTCCCTGATCTGTTCATCATGTTGGAGATCAAGGGGGACCGTGAGCCTGGGATCCACGTCGCGGGCGCCGGGCCTTCCAGGCCCCGGCGGTGGAGTCGCATCCCAGTCCACGTCGCGCCAATCGGCCCCGGGAACCTCGTTCGAGAGTCCGTAAACCCCCGAAACTCGGTGTTGGGGAGCCGGCGACTCCATGGTATCCTGCCATGTTGTGAATCGCTTCTTGGGCGGCGGCGGTCCCTCCGGCTCCGCGGGTCGCCGCTTGTCTGTGCTCGACGGAGCAGCGGCCCCGCTGGCACCTTCTTCGGCACCTGCCTCGCCACTAGACGAGGGAGCCGCGCCTGTCCCGGCCGCGGCTCCTGCAGGGCCGGCTGGTGCCGAGGGCGCTTCTTCCTTCTTGGTGGTGGCCCGCTTGGCCGCGGGGCCTTGACGCTCAGAGCCGCTCTCCTCAACGGCGCGCTTGAGGGAGGAGAGGGACTTAGCCTCTGCTGTCTCCTTTTCCTCCTTGGTCACT